CGTGGAGGAAAGATGAAGTGTTCTGCTCCCATAAAGATTTATAGCTTCTGAAACTCTCCACAACAGGGTTGCTATGAGTCAGAACCGACTCAGCCACCACCAGCAGAAACATGAGCTGTCATAATAATTCCTTCAGAATTTGTTCCAAGGGCTTCCTAACACTATTTCTCTAACTGCCCATGTAAGATATAAGCGGGACCCCATGTTCATTTAATAAATGAGACAACTACACCGTATACATATAAGTAAGTCAATGTCCCTAGCCAGAAGGTTTCCTTTTGACTTTATCACAACACTTCATTTTGATGTCATATTGCTAAAAACTTTGTCAAAATGATCATTTTGAGGGATGTCAGAAGGTACTCAATAGTTGAGTTGAGAGAATGCTAAAGAGGGAGGAAAGCTACAATGATAACCGTGATGCAACCATTCAAATCTCATAGATTTGAAGGGAGAAATCCAGTCAGTAAAAAAGAAAGCAGGAGAGATACATCTCACTAGCTAGACTTCAGAAAAGTACTAGATTAGAACCAAAAGGGGAAAAGCATGCTCCGAGTTAGTTACTACGATTACTAGAAAGCAGCTTCATCATCCAGAGAGCTGGCAGGGTTGGCAGCCACAAAAAGCGGTGATTAATCAAGCAAGATGTGCCCTGAGCTACATACCGCTGGGTGACGGGCACATGAACTTCATTAGATTATTCTCTTTCATGCAGGTTTGAAAACGTTCATAATCTGAAAATGCTTAAAGAAACAGTGCTACGAGGAAATGGCCCTCAGATTACATCTAGGAAAATGCACATCGAAATTAGAGAGTTTAGGAAAACTCACATCTAAATTGTCAGCTTTATTAAATTCCTTCATCAGTTTCAGGTTGACGAAATAAAAGGTCAGTCATCCTAACTAATATGCAAATGACAATTAGGTTTTATTGTATGGTATGCCACACTGAGTTGTAAAAATGGACAAAAATGTACGGAAAGGATGATACTTAGAAAAAGTAAAGGTTTTCTCCACTGCTTGTTACTTAGGAAATGTCACATACATAACAATAACAACAAAAAAAAGCATGTCAGCAAAGAGCAGTAACGTTTGATCAGAATAATTTTTTAGAAAAGATCATGTCACCAAAAAAGCCAAGTCAAAGAGTTCCACAAACCCCCTCTGTCAGGAGGGCGGTGATCTGGAGTTGACTCCGCCCAGTCATCTGAAAGTCCAGGGAGGCTCCTCCTACTTCCCCAGCCCACTAGAAAGATCTGTGAGGGAAGGAAAGAGAATCTCAGACTCCAAGCTTGGACTCTGCCACGTACCATAATCCAGGTGGAGGAGACAGTCTCTGCTTTTTGCTACTGTCACAAAGTATCAATCATTCATATCTAGCAATGGAGGTGGAACTCGCAAGGGCTTAAGTCAGAAGATCTGGGCTCATTGCTCTGACGTTCCAGGTCTGTGAGAGCTGGGGGAATCAATTCAACACTGATACCCTTCGGTAAAATGGAAACATAAAATAGGCCCAGGAGCTCTGGGAGTCCTGTGGGTTTGGGGCAGCTAACCTCAAGGTCATCAGCTGGAACAAACCAGCCACTCCTCAGAAACCCTGTGAGTCCACAACAACAATACAACAGGCCCAGGCTAAGGGCCATCCAACAAAATGAATGACCTGTAATCTTGGAGACTATCAAAGACTGAGGACATGACAAAGAGAGGGACAAGGAACTGTTATACAGAGATGGAAGTGTGTGGGTCACACATAACTAAAGACAGCAGGCTTTCGGGAAGGGGTCCTAGACCAAAACAGGCACTGTGGGGCAGCAGAGAAAATATGAATGAGGCCTATAGGCTGGACAGTTTCATCATCCATATCAGTGTGACGCGTCAATGTCCATTTCTAATTGGGAGGGATGAATCGCAGAATGTCCTTACTTTTGGAACCTGTTGTTGTTATGTGCCGTGGAGTCGGTTCTGACTCATAGCGACCCTGTACAGGGTTTCTGAGGCTGTAAATCTTTACGGGAGTAGAAAGCCTCATCTTTCTCCTACGGAGCGGCTGGTAGTTTCGAACTCCTGACCTTGAGGTTCGCAGCCCGATTCGTAACCACTATGCTACCAGAGCTCCTTAGTGCTACTGTTAACAGAAAAAATAAATTGGTGACTTTAAAGTGTACAGATTTATTTTCTCTCAGTTTTGGAAGCCAGATGTCAAAATCAGGGCATCTGTTCTAGAGAGGGGTCCTCCTTGTTTCTTTCAGCTTCTAGTAGTAATCCTTCACCTTCCTGAGCTAGAAGCTTCAGCTACCTGCGTCTTCACCTAGCATTTTACCTGCCCTGGTAAGCCTGTGTCTACTCTTCTCTTTTTATAAGAGGCCACTTAAAACTGATTAGGTGTGGGACCCAAGGAGCTCTGCTAATGGAGAGCTGCTAACCTCAAGGTCAGCAGTTTGAAACTACAAGCCCTTCCGCAGGAGAAAGATGAGGCTTTCTGCTCCCATAAAGATTTACTGCCTCCAAAACCCTATTCAGGGACCCTATGAGTCAGAACCAACTCCATGAGTCATAACCACTACCACCAGATATGGGACCCACCCTACTCTGATGTTGTTGTTGTTGTTAAGTGCCGTCGAGTCGGGTCCGACCCATAGCGACCCTGTACAGGGTTTCCGAGGGTATAAATCCTTACGGGAGTAGAAAGCCTCATCTTTCTCCCGCGGAGCGGCTGATGACCTCATTAACATAACAAAACTCCTCCTTCCAAAGAGGGTCATAATTACAAGTCTAGAGGTTAGGACTTCACCTTAACTTTTTGTGGACCATGATTTAATCCAAGGGTGGGGAACATTATTTCTGCCAAGGGCCATTTGGATATTTATAACATCATTTATGGGCCATACAAAATTATCAACTTAAAAATTGTTGTTATGAAGTGCCATCGAATCAGTTCCAACTTATAGTAAGTCTGTATAGTGTTTCCGAAGAGCGACTGGTGAGCTTGAACTTCCGACCTTGTGGTTCAAACTGACCTCGCAATCCAGTGCATTACCCCACAGCGCCACAACTAAACTGCTATGCTTAGTCAAATATTTAATTAA